TATGTCTCATGTTTGTAATCTCTTTTTGCAAATAAACATTAACAGGCGACCTAAGTTGTCAACACAGCTTTTTACAGTACGCTAAAAGCTAATACCTTCTCAAAAAGTCGCAGAAAGTACCAAGAGATGTCTAATTCTAAACACGATACGTTTGCTGCAACAGTATTGTTAGACGAGGGACAAGTGTACTGGAAAGAAAAAAGCTTAAAGTTTAAGAAGAATAACTTTCTCTCACATTAATAGATACTAATATCATGCAATGACACAAAAATGTTTACACCATACGTCCTCACATTGAAGACGGATGGAGAAATACAAATAGTTATATATAACGTCTGACCACATCTTGAAGTCTGATTAACTGAAAAATTGAGAACTTAAGCCAAAAAAGGAGGATGAATTTAGACGAAATTGATGTTTCTAACGCACACATAAAAAATTCATGACTAGTGACATAATCAAAAAGTTGGCAAAGAATAAAATTGTTTACCTCCTGAATGCTGAAAAAAGTCAAAACACGGTTACAAAAACAAGGTCAAATTTATACGTAGCTTCTATAATCATTATCAGTTGAATCCGTCGGTTCTGCTTGGTCAACCATATTTCTAAATGCTATTGCTCCTGGTAGCTGATTAGATTCTATTAATGCGTAAAATAACGTATGGGAACTTGCTTTCGCATTAAATTCTTCATACCATGCACGAAGTACTTCTTTTGTAATGAGTACTGATTTTGGGTATGAATTAAACCCTTTAGTACGATTTCGAATCAAATCTACGTTACTTAACTTCAGTTTGGTAGCTAATTCAAAAGGATCCGCATTCAATAATGTTGCCAGAATATTCAACTCTTTTGCTTTCACAGGTCGATTAACGACTAGAACATATACGTTAGCTTTGTAAACATATAAAGCAGACAAATCTAACTTACGTGGGGGAGGCTCATCAACTGGCACGACTGCTATATAACTATCGGTAGGACCATCTACAATTACACCTTTGGGATATGAGTTAGCCAGGTTGATAACATGTTGCACTGAATTACCAAACCATTCAGACAAAAGTAGACAATATTGAACAAGCGTTCATGTTTTACCTCTTGGGAGTTCAAGACTTTGGATATAGTTTTCTATCGAAAGGAAAGAGACAATATCCATCATGAAAATCTCAATAGTTGATGTATATACCTGGTTGTAGACCTTTTCGTTGTTCAGTATTTATTGACACATTTCCAGACGGAGCTAATACTCATAAAGTAGTTAATGATATCATGTTTTCGTATAGACGTAGGTATAGATCGAATCGGATGAAATTCGGGTAAAATAAGAAAAGATTTCAGAGTTTTTCTTTTTAGTCAAGAGAAAAATAATTGGGATTGTCATGCAGTTTTAGACCAAGAATTTGAACTTACTCCAGGACTTTTGGGTAGAAAATTCTTTTTCAGAATGGTTTATTCAGATCAAAGAAACAAACGCTTCGGTCTAGTATCGACATCTGCATTTCTTGACTTACTTAATTTAGTTACTTGTAGAACTAGAATCATATACAAGTTTCTGTACTTTACCATAAAGTATTGATGTTCTTTGTACCTTCATTTATACTATCAATTTGTAGAGCTAAGCCTAGAGAAGAATATTTTAATACAACTATAAAATTCTCACACAACAAAACGAAGTGTCTGCGATCGGATTGTGCTTTTAAAAAATGATATCTAAGAAAACTTTCGAGCTTCAATCAAAGAAGAAAGTTCTGAGAAAATATCAGTACATAATTTGTAAACTACTACTCCGAAATCAAATGTATTTGATTTTAGAGTTGTATAAAAAGTTCGTCCATTACAAAACAGTTTTCATCGTCGTGTAATCACAAGAGAATTTATTAGTCAATATCTACTTTTTAGACAGGATCTTTTTAAGTACACACATACACACAGAGGACACTTACCTTGTTCATTCGATTGTCGTTCATACGTTTCAATTAATGACTTCAGTTCATTCTTCAATACATCACGTTCTAGAATAATAAGATGAACAGTTAATACTAATCTAACTTTACAAGTAGATTAGAAATAAAATTCTTAAGCAAAATTTCTATACAAAGTAGAACTATGAAATATATCAACAGTCAAAAGTAGCCTATATTCTCTCACGCTTATTAAATCTTTTCATCTATCAAATGTTGTGCGAGAAATGATCAATTAAACACTTCAACTCAAAGACATATAAAAATGACCGTAGTCAGCTATTGACACTGATAAGCAAGTTGATAAAAAAAGAATTCGTACCAGAAGACATCTTGATTAATGTTTGACTTTGTTCATTACATTTTTCATTTAAAATCTGATTTTTTTTCATTAATTCATCACTTTGAGACTAAATAAAAAATATATTTATTCATTACATAGCAATAGAATTGACAACAAAAAAATCATACTTTAAGTGACTGAATCGGTTTTGCCGTTGTTATGTCTTGATTTTCAGCTTGACGTATTGTACGTTGTAAATCATTTTGAAGCTGACGAACACCGAACATACGTAGAAACCAAGTATTTCACATAATTAAAAATCAAATAAATATACCTGTTCTACTCTCTGAATTTTTTCTCGTAATTGTCGATGAATATTTAACAATAACGTATTTTTTTCTTCCAATGATATATCTAATGAACGAATCTATTATAGACGAAAGATAAACAAATAAAATAATTAATAACTAAATATATCTCACCTGTGTTTGAAACGTTGAATCAACTGATTCTAATTGACAAGTTAATTGCATTATTTTCGTCTGTTGTTCAATTGATTGTCGTTTTGCTTCTATTAATGTTTGTTCTAATTGTTGAATTTGTGTTTGATATAATTGACGTTCCTTGTCCCAAATTAACTCTCGATTCTAATAATAAACAAGATTTAACTAATTAAATCTCTCAGGATAGAGAATGAGTGAATTTAAATTTAAATTAATTAATTTTGTGTACATTTACTTATAAGAATATTAAACGATCAACAAAATCTCTTAAAAATATTATCCATCTAATGATTTGATAGTTACCTCTAATTGTGAACTAGAACTTTCCGATTTTTGTAATTTTGTTATTGTTGTAAACTTTGCATGATTTCCTTCTTCTAATAAATCTCGTTGTTCTGTTTTGTAAAAATACAAAAAGTACTTTAATACCCGATTATTAAATACCAACAACGTCAGCATACTTTGTAATTTAAAAAATGTTTTCTCTTTTTCGTTGATAACATTAGATGGATGATTTTTCTCTTGTTCAATTTGACGAAATTGTTCAGAATTATCCTAGAGATATATTAATAAAATTTTATAATTGAATCATTTTTTAAGGTGAAGAATTTAAGAATAGATAATAAGACAAACACCACCTTATACATAATGAATTTCTATGGGTAGCCCGTTGGCACCTATAATGGCTAATCTTTTTATGGATGAACTTGAAAATGAAATTGAGATATACCGGAGTAATAAACCTGATATTTATTTAAGATATGTTGATGATATATTTGCCATTAGCCACGGTACTCAAAAAGATATATTTAATTTTGTAAAATTGATGAACAAATTGGATCCTTCTATTAAATTCACAGTTGAGGTGCAATCTGAAACTGTCGTTCTTGGATGTTATGGTGGAAAGAAGAACTAATGAGCTGATATTTGAAATGGACGAGTTATCAGCCGAGGAGTTACAAAATCAATCTGATTAAATGTCTTTGTACTCGTGCAAAAAGAATTTGCTCGTCTAATGAACTATTTGAAAAAGAATTAGAATATTATACCC